CTAGGCTTGCTTCAGCCGCTGAATGAGTCAAAAAATACCCACTTACATTGATGTATTTGGAGGTCAGTTGAGGTTGCAGATAATCAGTATTTTTACTCAAATAATAATATAAATTTTCACTAAATTTTGTAGTGATTACTRATTAATAAAGCATTAAATTTGACACAAAATCTTAGAAGCTGTCAAACAATATCATTAATTAATATATAATTAAAAATATGTAAAAAGATAGTCTGTCTTACATCACACCCACAAATAAAAAGTTAAAAAAAAGAGAGATTCTTTTATGAAAAGTAAATTCTTAAATAATTAAAAAGGAAGATGATTAACAAAAAAAAATAGTAATTAATAATAATTGTTAATTAACTGTGGAATTTCATTAAAAGTTATCTAAATATTATTTTTAAATCTGTAATAAATAATAAAATAATATAAATAAAAATGATACGTATATATAATTTGCAGAAATTCTTGACGTGTGATCAGTGAYGGACCAAATTAACGAACTTGGTAATTTTTTTAGGGTAAATTACATGAAAAAAGTAACGTATTTTAACTTGATTTATATTTTGGGTGATATACTTTTAAAACTTYCATTTTTGGTACCTAAGATGTAAAGTTTTAAACATTTAATAAGACATATGATCAGTAACTATCCCTCATTATATTCTAAAAGCAAATTTAAATGTAAAAAATATTTTTAAAAACAGGTGACAAACCGTCAACATCATATATGATCAATTTTTTATAATATACTAAAAGGAGCAATCTATATCTGTCTAGCCTCCTCTCGACACTCAGGGGCAATCTATACCCATCTAGCCCCCTCTCGACACTCAGGGGCAATCTATACCCATCTAGCCCCCTCTCGACACTCAAGAGGCAATCTACATTCGTCTAGCCCCCTCTCGACACTCTGGAGCAATCTATACCTGTCCAGCCCTCTCTCGACTAGGGGTGCTCATGGGTTGGGTTGATCGGGTTGAAAGCATTTGAACAACCCAACTCAATGCTTGCGGTTTGGAAAAATCTTAACTCAACTCAACCCAAACCAAAGTGCAACCCAACCCAACCCAACCCATACGGGTTGGTCGGGTTGATACTTTGTTATACTAAAATATGCTTCTAATCTTGAATATGTTATTTCTCTATACATAATTTCTTTTTCATCATCAACCATTTGATACAACTTATCCATATTTCTTACGAATATCACATTCAGTTAATTTTCTCAATTTACATATATATGTTCACAGTTACTGAACATATATATGATGAGTTATATAGAGATGTGAATARATTGAAAATATGTGTATATGAAAAGCATACAGTGTAATTGTCTAATGTATACATTAATAAAAATTCAACAATCATATTAAATCCAAGAAATAAAAAAGATATCGGGTTCATCAGGTTGGGTTCAAATAATAGTAATCCAATATCAACCCAATACCCACGGTTACACAATTTTACAACTCGATTAGACATCGGGTTGCTTCAGATTGAGTTATTTCGCGTTGGGTTGGGTTGATCGGGTTGGTCAGGTTTTTTAGCACCCCTACTCTCGACACTCTGGATAATCTGTACCTGTCTACCCTCTAATGGAGGGAGCATGCTAAAATCCTACATTGACTAGACTTGAATCATTTCTCCTCAATATATTAAAAAAAAGTAAATTATTATTTTTTTTGGATTAACGTATCTGAATCTTGAGCTTCGTTTCATTTCAAATAAACCAAAGTATTTATATAAATACAAGAAAATTGTTACATTTTCTGAAAAAAAAAACAAAATTTGAATAAAATTATCAAATATAATGATTTTATATTTATTAAAAATATAATTAAAACCAAAAAAACATATAATGATTTTATGAAAAAGGGGTTGATTTAAGAATTGGAAAAAGAAGACAAACACTTTGATTAAAAACCAATTATATTATATATTTAATAATGAAACAATTACTATAACAATAATTCAAATAGATACCAAAGGCAACTATTTGTCATTAGCAAATCATGTAGCCATGATGATTGTGTGTGATTGTGAGTAAGCTTTATTGGAGTTTGTGTTCTTGCAAGGACCAAAAGTTGTTGGTCAAAATTTTGAACACTACCCTTTACTCAACAAATTTTGGCAAAAGTTGACAACATTGCCCTTTCCCTACAACKAACTTAAGATTCTCTTCTAATCATCCCTCACCTCAAGAAAACCCTAATATCCCACCCCCAAGATATCTATGGCTTCTTTCATGAAAATATAGTATCTCGTTGTATTGTGTGAGTATCCTTCTAGTTTTTCAAAATAGGTGTGTTAACACAACTGGTTATATCAAAATCAGGTTATAAAATATATATTGAAAATGTAAAAAGTAGATATTGATACTGATGATGTGTGTGGGTAGATATGTATTAATTTAGTAATATATAAATGTGCATTTAACCTACGCCTTCAAAGATATGATCATCTTCTATTACCTCTCACCCCTCTCAAAACCCTAACAACGCTCCCTCTTCGCATGGCTTGTTTCTTGAAAAATAGGGTATTTTTCAAGATTTGATCCTCTTCGAATCACACCTCACCCCGAGCAAAACCCTAATTACCCACCCTCTTCTCATGGCTTGTTTCTCGAGAGAGTTGTATTTCAAGATTTAAAGATGGATATCTGCRAGTGACCAGTGAGGAAATTTATGTYGCTAAATACTTGCTCGATAATCTTTAGGGCTATTTCAAATGGGAAACGTATTTAAATAAGAACCAACGAGAATTAAATTAAACACAAACTAATCACATAAATTCAATAATATGAGTATATGAATGGCCCCATCTCTCCATAAAACTTACCTAGAAAAGAAGAAGATAACTACTAGTATCATCATCTTCATCATCTTCTCTTTTATATATATATATATATATATATATAAAAAGAGAGTACATATACATAGATATATAGAAGATTATAGAAAAAGTGTCTCTTGCTATACATTTTTTCTCCAAATAAAAACACAAAGTCTTGGAAGTTGATAAAGATGAAGATGAAGATGATGACGATGACAATGAGAGTAAGACACGAGAAAGTGAAACCAAAACAAACCGCTAAAAACGCATCATATACCATTCATAACACCATCACGAAAAAAAGCTAGCTTTTTGATTGTATCTTTACCACCACCGCTGTCGTCGTTGCCATTTCTTGAATTTTCTTTTCTTCAGTATACCAATCCATTTTTGATTATCGATTCAAACAACCCATCACTCACCTATTCGAAATAGGGTTTGGTCCGCTTGGAACTTCATGTGCGCTAGCTTCAAACGATGTCCTAGGTTTCGAATGTGATTGATGATGGGYACTTCTTTTCGGATGATGATCGAAATCCATGGTGGTTGTTGTGGATTCATCATGGGTATTAGAAGTAGTCGGTTCGAATGGAACTGATGCAGCTGCCATGGAAGTGGATGATTGAAGGAGAGTGATCAAGAATATGAAGATGATCAAGAGTGCAACACAGACAAGTGAAGAACAAGAATTAGGGTTTGGGAATTGAGAGATTTGTGAAGATGATGACCTCAATTTAGCCATGCAGCTGTAGCTGTTTGTTTCAAAGAATAGAACAAGAAACCACCCCCCAAATGACCACAGGAGATCAATATCCATTAACCAATTGCACCACCCAATGACTAAATCTTGAGCACCACCCCAAGAGAGAGAGAGAGATAAGAGAGAGAGAGAGATGAGAGAGAGAGGAGAGAGAAAGATTTAAGAAAAGGGGTTTTGAAATTGAATACACATTTGATGAGAAGCAAATGATGAGTACTAGTAATTAAAGCATTCAAATGGAAGTATATAGGAAAGGAGGTAGATGAAGCAGAGTGAAATTACTTCACTATCCCTGTTGCCTTTTCAAAGAAATTATACATGCACAGTTTATATGACCCCCTCCTTGCAAAAAGAAGCAAAATTCGATACGTTTTATTATTCATTTAATATCTAAATTAATATTTTTTAATTAAAATAAATGATTTAGGAACAAAAAATCAAGGTTATAATCTCAAATAGTAGTTATTAATCAATGGGTAGATAAGTAAATTAGGATTGAAAACACATTGAAACATCTATTCATTCTTTCTTTAAGTTTAAAACCGAGAGATTTTTTTTTTGGTAAATTGCATGAAAAAGTGATGTATTCTAACTTGATTTCTATTTTGGATAATTTACTTTCAAAACTTTTATTTTGGTACCTAAGATGTAAAGTGAGAGTTTTTTTTGGTAACAATGGGTTTTCGGATTAGTTTATGTGCATTGAATAACTAATTCGCGGACGATGAGACATTGTCTGGAGTTATTGCAGGTGAACCTTGATTGTCACATGGTTTTGGGAGGGTATGCATTTGAACCCAGGAAAAATAAGATTTCTACTACATCTCTCTGAGTTTTAACCGATACGTCACAATTCAATCAATTAAAAAAAGGAATTTCAAACTTCTCTACTAAGCATAATTGATGAAGTTAGATATTATTAAGTAGGGGGCCTTCTTTTAAGAATCCCTAAAATTGTGATAACCTTGAGAACTAGTGCATCATGTGTTATTTCATATGTTTTTTTTCCCATCAAATACTAAGATTTATAATATCTATTAACATATATTTGTTTCACAATGTGAGTTTTTTTCACATGTACTTTTTCACAATACATGTGAACCTTTTTAGTCTCCTTGAAAACAAAAGTTTCACATTGTGAACTGCATACATATAAAACAAACGCATTGTGAAACAAATGTATATTCATTAATACATTAAACGCTAACGTTAGATAAAAAAAATCATATGAAACAATACGTTAAGATAAATATTCCCACAATTATAACAATATATAGAATCCTCAATTGATTAAGCTACTTAAATATCAAGTCTTTAACTTATATTGTTCTTTTTAATCTCCATTGGTATGCCTTCATTTCTGCCTCTCCCTTTATTTTATTTTATTCCATATAAATAATAAAGAAATATAAAACAAAAATATTAAATGATGAAAATGATTGAATTACACATGCAATATCTACATAGAATTTTGGGAATATAATTGCATATAAAGATATCATGTACATACATAGCACAATATCTTTGGAATATGTTTGGTATATTTTGTTAGACTAGAAGGATACTCGCATAATGCAGTAAGATATATCTTGATTTTAATGTTTTTTTTGTCTCGGTCGATGTTATAATACAGATTTAAGTGGTTTTGAGAAAGCGATAATGTTTCTATTTTTGAATAAAATATCAATACGAAGATATTCATAAAAGATTGAAAAAAAAATATTGATATTAATATCAAACTAACTATTTAAAATTTCCTTTTTTTATGTATTTTTTTAATTCATTTTTTTTTATTTTTGGTTTAATAATATAATTTTTTATAAATATAATAATTAAACATTCTGTTAAAACTCAATGATTATTTTAATTAGATTTTAGATTTTATATATTTAAAATGAATGCTTATCCTATATTTGATCAACTTTATCTGCAGTTAGTTATATGAATTTGAAAATGGAGCTTTAATAAGTTGTACTTACGTAAAATTACTTGTAATCTTGAATTTTAAGTAATATGCATAAATAAACAGTACTTCATGTATACAAATGGTTTTTAAAAGTTTTTGTCAAATGCTATATAATATAGTATAGATATACGTCCAAATTTAAAACATTCATGCATAAGTCACTATTCTCACTAGGTTATGGTAACTAACAGGGATGGGGCGAGTTTTCTAATCCCCGACCCCGGTTTCTATGAACGGCCGGTCTCCGCCGGACACGAGAATTAATATATTGTCCCCGGTTTATTTTCTAGTCAAACTCTGATCCTTGTCCTCAAATTTTAGAATATATATATATATATATATATATATATATACATATTATATAAGATATATTAATAAAATCATATACTGGGTACGGGGCGGGGCGGGAGATATGCTATCCGGCCCCGGCCCCAACCCCAGTTTGAGTCTACCAAGGATCCCCGGTCTCGAGACGGGAATCCCTGTCCACAATCGAGACAGGTGAGCCGGGTTTCCTACCGAATCAAGACAAATCACCATCCCTAATTCTCAGCCCAAGAGGGTAATGTATTTTATTTGAGTAAATATACATACAACTACAAAAAGTTAAAGAATTTTNTTTAATATAATTTTTTATAAAAATAATAATTAAACATTCTGTTAAAACTCAATGATTATCTTAATTAGATTTTAGATTTTATATATGTAAAATGAATGTTTATCCTATATTTGATCAAATTTATCTGCATTTAGTTATATGAATTTGAAAATGGAGCTTTAATAAGTTGTATTTACGTAAAATTACTTGTAATCTTGAATTTTAAGTAATATGCATCAATAAACAGTACTTCATGTATAAAAATGATTTTTAAAAGTTTTTGTCAAATGCTATATAATACAGTATAGATATACGTCCAAATTTAAAACATTCATGCATAAGTCACTATTCTCACTAGGTTATGGTAACAGGGCGGGGAAGGGGCGAGTTTTCTAATCCCCGGCCCCGGTTTCTATGAACGGCCGGTCTCCGCCGGACACGAGAATTAATATATTGTCCCCGGTTTATTTTCTAGCCAAACTCTGATCCTCGTCCCCAGTCAAAACCTAATTTTAGAATATATATATATATATATATATATATATATATATATTATAAGATATATTAATAAAATCATATACTGGGTACGGGGCGGGGCGGGAGATATGCTATCCGGCCCCGGCCCCGTCCCCGGCCCCGTCCCCAACCCCAGTTTGAGTCTACTAGGGATCCCCCGTCTCGAGACAGGAATCCCTGTCCATGATCGGGACGGGTGAGCCGGGTTTCCTACCGAGTCAAGACAAATCACCATCCCTAATTCTCAGCCCAAGAGGGTAATGTATTTTATTTGAGTAAATATAYATACAACTACAAAAAGTTAAAGAATTTTATCTAAACTTTTAAATTTGTGTCTTTAATAATAAAATGGTAAAAAAATGATCGAAATTACTTTAGTTTAAAACTGTTTGGTAGTCGAGTCATAAAAATATACGTTTTATTACAAGATATTAATAAATTTTCTTWTGATTTATAAGTTTTCTTAATTTTGTTCTGTTAAAGGGTATTTTAGGTATTTCTTAAGTTACACCAAATCAGATATTTGATTTTTTTTTGTCTTGTCCTATCCCATGTAGTCTGCATACCAAATGCACCCTATAGGAGGAGGGACTACAACGTCTAGTCTGTTTAATTAGCTTTATGTATTATTTATTACAAGTTTTATATATTTTCATGAWAGAAAAATGATAGCATTTTTATTTTTTGATGTCTTCGGTTTATGTTTAATAATTTCTCCATCGTTTACATTTAAGTACCCGATTAAAACATTAACCCGGTTATCATGYTGATGCAATAAGTGATGTGGTATCCATTATCCAACTCAGTATTATTTGATGACGTGGTTAGTGACATGAACTTTTTTTAATTTAAAATTAGTCTTCAACTGGTTACCTGTGTACTTAAATGTTTAAAACTTTACATCTTATATACAAAAATGGAAGTTTTGAAAGTAAGTTACCCAAAATAAGAATCAAGTTAAAGTATATTATTTTTTCATGCAATTTGCCCTATCAAGAAACATTTTAAATGTTGACAAATAATCAGATATTTTTTAAAAGTTATATATTTATGATATCAATATAATTAATTACAGAATTTTATTTAAAGATAAGTAAATTAACTGAAAATATGAAAATTCGTCTTGTATCGACACATCCCCGTATTCTTGCAAATGCAACAACACATACGTATAATTTCAAATCTACTATCCACGTTATCTTTTTTTTTCCCGTTCCAAATCCGTAGAAATATCACCGTTAAATTCAACATTTTAAGTCATTAAGCTATGAATTCATAAAGAACAACTATTCAAATCAAATTAATCAAACCCGAATCATCATAATTTTATGTTTGTATATAATATATATATATATATATAGGGGCCTAATCAAATGAGAATTGTTTTGTTTGTGGTAACCGTGAGATCCAATCTTAACCACAAATCAATATATATATATATATATATATATATATATATAGGGGCCTAATCAAATGAGAATTGTTTTGTTTGTGGTAACCGTGAGATCCAATCTTAACCACAAATCAAAGGTTAAATTAGAAAACTAATAATTTTGTTAATTTTAACTTTAAAAATATTAATAAAGGGCATTTTAGGGATTTTACAAATATCCTCTCTCATCTCTCCTCTTTCCTCTCTCCGGCGAATYTTATTCGGTAAACCTTATTCCGATGAACCTTATATGAACACAAGATACACACAATGATACCTACAAACGATATTCACTGTGATGCCCAGATATACATACAAGATGCACATTATGATATCCT